CTGGAGGGGAGTGTGGAATGGACAAGGGAGTCATGGAGAGAGTGGTCCCTCCAGAAAGCAGATAAGGGTGGGGAGGGAAAAATGTCTTTGGTGGTGGGGTCGGATTGCAGAGGGCGGAAGTGTCGGAGGATGATGCATTGGATCCGGAGGTTGGTGGGGTCGTACGTGAGGACAAGGGGGATTCTGTTTTGGTTGTTATTGCAGAGAAGGAGTGTGAGGGATGAGTTGCAGGAAATGCAGGAGATACAGTCGAGGGCGTTCTCGACCACTGAGGGGGGGGAGTTGCGGTCCTTGAAAAACGAGGACATCTGAGATGTACGGGAGTGGAATGCCTCATCCTGGGAGCAGATGCGGCGGAGGCAAAGGAATTGGGAATAGGGGGTGGCATTTTTGCAGGAAGGTGGGTGGGAGGAGGTGTATTCTAGGTAGCTGTGGGAGTTGGTGGGCTTGAAATGGACATCGGTTTCTAGGTGGTTGCCAGAGATGGAGACAGAGAGGTCCAGGAAGGAGAGAGAGGTATTAGAGATGGTCCAGGTGAACTTAAGGTTGGGGTGGAAAGTGTTGGTGAAGTGGATGAACTGTTCGAGCTCCTCGTGGGAGCACGAGGCGGCGCTGATACAGTCATCAATATAACAGAGGAAGAGGTGGGGTTTAGGGCCAGTGTAGGTACGGAAGAGGGATTGTTCCACATAATCTACAAAGAGGCAGGCATAGCTTGGGCCCATGCGGGTACCCATGGCCACCCCCTTTGTCTGTAGGAAGTGGGCCCGAAATGTCAGCCTTCCTGCTCCTCTGATGCTGCTTGGCCTGCTGTGTTCATCCAGCTCTACACCTTGTTATCTCAGATTCTCCAGCATCTGCAGTTCCTACTATCCCCAAAGAAATGTGGATATTGGAAATCTGAAACAAAAGCAGAAATTGCTGGAGAAACGCAGCAGGTCTGGCAGGTAATTATGAATTATGTTGTAAGGTTGTTAATAACAGACCTCACTTGGCAACCTTCCAGAGAAACTGAAGTGCAAGGAAGGTCAATGATGAGAAAAGGTCATGCTCTGGCACGTAAAGGGGAAAAGGACCCTGTTGCTCAGTAGCAATTAACATTTGGAAGACAGGTATCGTTCAAGGGACTGAGGTGCTACTTTTGTCACAGGGAAGGGCACATGACAACTAAATACTGGAAGCTATAAATTAAAATGGAATTACCCATTTCATTTGAAGTTTCATTTGAAGTTTCATTTGAAGTAACATTTGCTGTTAATTCATTTTGCTTCATGATTCATGTTAATTTTAATGCTAATTCATTGATAATGTTAATTCAACTAAATTTGCTTATTTTGGTTTGCTGTTTCCTGTTGAGGATTTGTAACAGTTTGTATAACTCATAATTAAATCATTCCAGGCACATCATAGGAACATTATTAAACAACATTGACAATGATCCACAGAAAGAGATATTAAGTCAGGTGATCAAATGTTTGGTCAAAGAAGCAAGTTTCAGAGGAGTGTTTTAAAGGAGGAAAGTGAGGTAAATGAGTGGAAAGGTGTAGGGAAAGAATTCAAAAGTTTGGGGCCTAGGCTTAGGCACTGTAGGAGCAATTAAAGTTTTGCACACAATCAGTGTAAGTCAGTAAGTATAGCTTTGGTAGAGGATAAGACTTGGTGTAAGGTAAGATGCAAGTCAATGACCTTAAATTTAAGAAGGTAGAACGTGAGTGCGTTGGATTTGGTGAGTCTGAGATAACAAAGGCATAAATGAAGTTTTAAGCAGCAGATGGGCTAAGACAGGGGTGATGTTGAGCAATGCTACAGAGCTAGAAAGAGACAGTCTTGATTGCATTGTGATATAAGGTCAAAAATTCATGTCTGGATCTAATGTGACACAGGAAGGTGAACAAAATAATTCAATATCAGATAGTTGGCAGGGAGAGGGATGCAGCTGGAAACTGGCGAAAAGAGTTTTGGACTAGAGTGAAACAATGTCTTCCCAAAGAAACTTCTGATCATCCAACACTCAAAGTTAAATATGCAGCCTGATAATTTACAACTAGTCGAGTAATCAAGAGAGGCAATGGTGAGTTAGAGCTGGGTGTTATCAGCGTACACGTGAAGAGCAATACTGTGCCTGCAGAAAATGTCACCAAGGGACAATAGGTAAATAAAAAACCGTAAGGAGGACAAAAAAAGTACTTGGGGAATACCAGAGGTAACAATGTGGGAGTATGAAGAAAGACCTTACCATTAAATAGGTAAGAAATGCTCACAGACATAATCATATCTCAACAGCAGAAATCACATGACACCAAGTTATAGTCCAATAGGTTTATTTGAAAACACAAGCTTTCAGAGCCTCACTCCTTCTTCAGGTGTTAGTGAGAGAGGTGGTATCAGACACAAAATTTATAAGTAAAAGATCAAAGGGTCACACCAAAGATGAGGATGTATTAAACAAACCGAAGATGCCGTTAAATCTTTAATGAGTTAAAACGTTTTAATCGATTAATATGTATATGTAAATCCCCAAATTTCTTTTAAGTCACTGCCCTGAGAGAATTAAAGGTGACACTTTAGTCAGACAATGCATGTTGGGTGTGAGGCCTTGTTTAGAATCTGTTTGTACATAGAACATAGAACCGTACGGCACAGCACAGGCCCTTAGGCCCATCATGTTGTGCCGAACTTTTACCCTAATCCTAAAGTCTGTCTAACCTCCACCCCTACCTTATACTGTCATCCAGATGCCTATCTAATAGCTGCTTAAATGCCCCTAATGAGGCCGACTCCACTACCTGCTCCGGCAATGCATTCCACGCCCCGACCACTCTCTGAGTAAAGAACCTACCTCTGATGTCTCCCCTATATCTACCTCCACTCACTTTAAAACTATGCCCCCTCGTAATAGCTACCTCCACCCTAGGAAAAAGTCTCTGGCTGTCTACTCTATCTATACCGCTGATCATTTTGTACACCTCTATCAAGTCACCTCTCATCCTTCGTCGCTCTAAAGAGAAAAGCCCTAGCTCTCTCAATCTTTCCTCGTAAGACCTTCCCTCCATTCCAGGCAACATCCTGGTAAATCTCCTCTGCACATTTTCCAACGCTTCCACGTCTTTTCTGTAATGAGGCGACCAGAACTGGACACAATACTCCAGATGTGGCCGAACCAGGGCTTTGTCTTGCTGGAGCATAACTTCATGGCTCTTGAGCTCAATCCTTCTATTAATGAAAGCTAACACACCATACGCCTTCTTATCAACTCTATCCACCTGGGTGGCAGCTTTCAGGGACTGTGGACATGAACCCCAAGATCCCTCTGCTCCTCCACACTGCTAAGAATCTTTCCGTTAACCCTGTATTCTGCTTTCAAGTTTTTCCTTCCAAAATGAATCTTTTCAGGGTAAAACTCCATCTGCCACTTCTCAGCCCAGCTCTGCATCCTATCAATGTCCCTTTGTAACCTAGAACAGTCCTCCACACTATCCACAACTCGACCCACCTTCGTATCGTCTGCAAACTTACTAATCCACCCTTCCACTCCTATATCCAAATGATTTACAAAAATCACAAATAGAAGAGGACCCAGAAAGATCCTTGTGGTACACCACTCGTAACTGAGCACCATGTTGAATATTTTCTGTCCACTACCACCGTTTGTTTTCTAAGGGTCAGCCAATTCTGAATCCAATCTGCCACATTTCCCTCTATCACATGCCTCCTTACTTTCTGCATGAGCCTACCATGGGGAACCTTATCAAACGCCTTACTTAAATCCATGTATACCACATCCCCTGCTCTATCTTCATCCATGTGTTTGGTCAGCTCTTCAAAGAATTCAATAAGGTTTGTGAAGCACGATCTACCCCTCACAAATCCATGCTAACTATCACGAATCAAACTGTGCCTTTCCAAGTGATCATAAATCCTATCTCTCAGAGCCCTTTCCAATAATTTGCCCACCACTGACATAAGACTAACTGGCCTGTAATTTCCGGGGTTATCCTTATTCCCTTTTTTGAACAAGGGAATGTCATTTGCCTCTCTCCAATCTTCCGGCACTATACCCGTGGCATTAACAAGCTTACCCGTTTGTATTTTGGTTTGGAGTCAGGCTGGTTTTATTTTTAAAGTAGGAATTTACAAACTGCCACATTGACTGACTGTCTATAAATTGCTTGTTTTTTGAACAAAATAAAATGTATCCGCAAATATAAATTCACCCCATAGATTTACATGTGTGTGTGTGTGTGTGTGTCACCTCTTCTTTACGTTGATAAAACCTTTAGTTCTCTCAGAGCAGTGACTTGAAAGAAATTCAGGGATTTACATATACATATTAATCAATTAAAACCTTCTAACTGATTAAAGATTTAACAGCATCTTAGGTTTGTTTAATACATCTTCATCAGTGGTGTGACCCTATGATCTTTTACTTATACAGTCTGTGTCTGATACTACCTCTTTCACTAACACCTGAAGAAGGTCCGAGGCTCAGAAAGCTTGCGTTTTCAAATAAACCTGTGAAACTATAACCTAGCGTCATGTGATTTCTGATCTTTTCCCACCCAAGTCCAACACCGTCACCTCCACATCAATGAAATATGAATCATGGATTAAGATCGTAAGCCCCAGGCATTACTTAAACGGTTTTTATTTTGTTGGGCACTTCTTATTTAAATCGATTAGTAATTAGCCTCAATCTGAATTTTTAGCTATTTGTAAAGAGACCATCTCAAATATGATCTCAAATCAGGCAAGACTGAATGCTATTCTGCAAGGTTTGAGGTTAGTTATGAAAACTAAATATCTCTAATGCACTCTAACAATGTAACATCAATCTACATTTATCTGAACTCTGGTGAGGCAGCTAGCATTTAAATTCCACGCAAATTTAACCCATGTTTTTACTCATGTGTTCTGTCTGTGTCATTATGCAATTCACATTAAGATGAAATATATGTGTATCCTTAATTACTCTAATAGAAATTCACATATATTCAACATACTTACTGATTGCACAGCCTGAACACTGGCTTCAAGACTTAGCAGCTAAAAGGACAGCAAAAACAGCAGTTAAACCAATATTCCACAAATTGCAATATTATCTTGCTACCTAAAGAGGAAAGAGTGCTCAATTCGTTATTTTACAAGGAAAATCAAACCTGTATTATGTCTAACACATATCGATGCCATTCGTAAAACAGAATATTTTCTGGTCAGTATTGTAATGTTGAAAAGACGACAGTGTGAATGACTTGTGAAAGATTTTCTTGACACCAACAGAAAACAGCTGACCTGAAAGGAAATCCTCTTGGCTTACACCTCTCATTGCCTGAAATGCTTTATTTTTCGTGAAAGGAAACAAGGGGAACCTCTAGAGGAAATGATTACTTTTTAAGAGTTCTGTGAATGTTTTACAATGATTCCTGAATACATAATCTATCAATAACATTGTTTTCAACTGACGAAACAATTTTACTGATTAACCGTACCTATTTTTTTAAGTAAAGTGATGGAATTTGAATGCACATTAAACCGTTTAAAATTCAAGATAAAGAAATAGGCAAAGAATAAAATAAAATTTCAATAACCTCTTCGTGCTTTTCAGAAAAGAAAGTCCATAAAGATTCTTCCGCGTGGTCCACACTTCAGTTCAGTCAAGAAAAGGGGCCTGGGTTTAACTTTATGTATAAATGGATTTTGAGATTATTTATTTTCTTTGCAGAGTGGGACTTTTTGACTGACATATGGTCTAAATAGTGGATAGCTTTAAGACTCTAATTGCTCTACTTTAAGCATTCTTCAAATGCATTTTGTAGAAAATGTAAGATCTACATGTTGAATGGTCCCTAATGAAATGCTGAATAATGAGACAAAATACAGACTTTTGCATCAATATGCAAAAGGCACTCTTATCCCCCTGAGAAGTATTACTTTTAAGGCCAATAATATTAGTTGAAAGAGAACAAGCAATATAGAGA